CACTGCTAAGAGGGCCAATAACTAAAATTAACCAATCAGACTGCTCCATTGCTGGTCCAATATTCTCTCAGTATTGGACCGGGAACTCTCTCGAATGATCCCGGACGATCACTCTTGAAGATTTTGTGGTTGTTTAATGGCTTCCGTCTCTGAAAGAACTTGCTTCAAACATAAAAATTCCATTTCTTTTTCTTCCAACTCTCTGTTCCTTCTGGTGTTTTTAACATCAGACGTGAGTATACGCCAAGTCGGCTCCCAATCACGATTGCTTGCTTTTGTCCAGTCCGTGTAAGTGGCATTATTTTCTGAACATTTTTTGTCGTGTAATAAATCTCTTATTAACCAAGCTTGCTTGGGACCGCACTGGGAGAATATCGGCCCTCAGTCCTTTTTTGTACGGAACTCTCTGCGCTCGGTCCGTACTGTTAGGACATCGGGCTGATATTCACCCCGTACTGCCCACGGGCTTGGTGAATAAGAAATAGGTACAGATGGCGTGTCCAGACCGCCCACGACATGCGGTTGAACTTCCCAAAGTGGACAACCATGGGGGTAGAAGGAATATGCACTCTGAACTACTGATTGGTTATGGGACAAACAAACGATGGATATAATTTCTCATTGAAGTGCCTACCTCATCGAACATCTGAAAGACTTCTTTCGCCAGATTGTAACCGCAAGCTATTATAAGGAATACTGACACAGTAGCATGAATCCAGCTATCCTCAAAGCACAGTGCAATCAGTGGTTCGGTTCCCTGACAGAAGAACAGTAAAATTCGGTGACCGGCTCCTCTCTTTGTAAAACCTCAGAGAAAACCTCCTATTTCTTCAACGATACCTCATCTATGAAAGCCACATGCGAAAAATATTGCTGGCCGTTTTCATACCATTTGCTTTATGATTGTCTAAATGTCTGGCACGCTAATTTGCGCACAGACTATGCATAAAAGTCCCGGATGTGATGCGACATCTTTGGTACCATTTCTAAGCTTACAACTTTGACAGCAAACACTCAGCAATTATCAAATTGATGATGATTTGTTGTAATTTCAGAATAAATCTTTTTACCGATTTTAAGTTATTCCGATTTTTT